GCAACGGCGAGTCCCTGACAGAACGAGCCCAATTTCATTGATGTTTGTCTGGTAGCGTTAAGATAGTAAGCACGAGATTAGGTAAAAATAAGCAGAAACCTTACTCGGTCTAAGCAGCAGCGTTTATCTTGCAAGTAGAACCTCCTTCCCATAAAGCTTTACAGATACGACCGCGGCGCCCACTGAACTATGCTATGTTACGAACTTCGCATCTATTGTCGAGTTAGAGAGTTCTGTCTCCAGGTAATCTTTTTTATTTGAAGAGCCAGTATGGCAATGAATTGATTTTAAAAAAAAGCTCCCTCATACGACTGCAACAATCTGCACACTGTAAACAACGAAGTCTTCAGATAACTTCAAACGTTTCGAAATGTTTCAGCCTTATAGATATTAATTTCACGAAGACGGATCTTCCCCTTAATGGAAGTTAGAAAAAGACATGAATTCAAATAAGAGAGAAATGGAGACCAGCAGACCTAAAGGATAAAGGAAGGCGAATTGGTTTACCTCCCTAGAAACAATAGTTTGTTTGTCACAATAAGCTGTTCCAAACGACAAAATAATCCATTCAAAATAAACTATTCAGGTAACTCTCTAATCTCTATTTCGCTTAGGTCGATTGAAATTGCTTCTTTGTATGTAAAGAGAAGATCTGTCATTACTAGAAACCCCCCTCAATTTTAAAAGCGCACACTACCACTGCATAGCTGTCATTTCCCTTTATTTTAAGAAGCCAACTTTTTAAGTTTCTTTATTCAAAAATTCTATCTTTTCATTAGCATCTCTCTTAAAACTGACCATAAGTGTCCTATAATCTAAGCTCACTTCAACCAGTGTACATTCCATAATTACTACCTTGATTTTGCAACATTTTTTATTGCCAAAGAGAATTCAAATGTATTCAATTATAAGTTGATCTTATTGGTTTGAGCGAAAGTAGACATAAATTTCTTCCCTAGTTTGTCGGCGTTTTCACAACATTTATCCAATAACGTACTTAAACTTTCAAAAACTGCAGCTCGTAATAGAAAGAGGGAAGTAATGAGAATTATCCGCAAGATTACATGGAGACAGATATTTTTGAATTTTCCATTTGGGGAATATACACCAATATAAAAGAACATAAACTGCTCAAACGCCAACTGTCAAGACGTAGGGCAATGAATATTCCCTTCGCATTATAAATACACTTGCAGTTTAAAAAGGATTACTTTACAAAATAAAATTAAAACTATTATCTAAAACTGGATTCGTACCTTACCAAACCAAAAAAAAAATACCATCCATATTCTATATAGTAGGATATGAAAATCACGCTTCACCCTTTAGATACTGTTATACCCTACATATCATGTCTTCAATAACGTTACCAAACGTTCAAGCTTAAAACTAAGTCGTGAGAGCGATTATGCAGAAAAAAATTTGATGTTTACATAGCAGACGAGCATGTTAGTTGAAATGCGGACATTCTGCCATGCAGAGGGAACTGCCATCTCCAGTTGAACCAGTCGGCGAATTTACAGAACTTCTGGATTTACTCGACAATAATTTTCAATAAAGAAATTGAAGGACCTTCTATTAGCTTTACTTAAAGAGTTTGAAATCAACGAGTGG